GGAATTCGATCGTCAATAGTTATTTTGGTTATTTTGGCTATTCGATCGGTTATATCTATTTTGTGAGAAATTTCGTGTATTTCCTCGTTCGGGTGATCTACTTCTTTCCCTTTTTCTACCTTTTTCATGTATCGAAAGAATGAAATATTTGGTTCTTTGTGCTTTTGAGGTTTATTCTGATTGTCTTGTTGTTTTTGTCTACATTCGGAAATACTGTGTCCGTATCGTCGGCAATAATTACACCATTTTTTGAAAGATGGTTTGCCTATAAACTTTGGAAGTTTTTCGTAGATATTTAGAATTTCAGTGATTTTTTCAATCAGGTCTGTGTCTGATTCTTGTATGTTATTTATATGTGTAGTATTTGTTTCAATCCAATTAACATATTGTAGTTTTAGATTTTCTGTTTCTTCGAGTTTCATTGTGATTTCTGCTTGTTCTAGTTTATCTACTATTTTCGAAAATCTAAATCTGGTTCTCGAATTGAGGAAGGATGAGATGCTCTCTTTTTTATAGCTATTTTTCTTAATTGAGGTGTTTAGGTCATCATTAAAATTTCTGTCATTTTTGTGTTTTTGTAGTCATGTGTATTAGTGAATATGCTTTTCGAACTAGTGTTTCGATTCGTACTGCTAATTGTTTAATTGTTTCATTTGGTATTCTGCGGATTTCTTTGCATAAAATTCTTTGATATTGTTTGTTTCTTACAGAATCAAACATTTTTGAAAATTCTTGTGTGAATCTTTTCCAGTCTGATTTTATTTCTATGGTTAATACTGAAAACCTTTATTGAGCTGCGCCATCTAGGGTTGTTTGTATTAACGCTGTGCGTCTATGTATCCAATTTTGATGTAATGGCGTATTAATTGGTTCGGGTCCTACATTTAAAATTAAATTTGCTGTTACTGCATTTAGATAATCTTCTACAAAATATTCAGGGTCTGTTCCTGTGAATACCATTAATGGTTTATTCGATGTTATTGATGATCCACCCATAAGGCATGGATTCATAGTCATCTGTAGTGATTCTGCGGCATTTGGCATTTGTAAAAAATTTGAAAGTTGATTTTTTGTGATTTCATGTTGTTGAAGGTAATATGGAAGCGGTATTTCATTTTGCATTTGTGTTGGTTGATAAGAATGCATTAACATTGGGTTTTGTGGTTGAATAGGTTGAAAAGATTGTGTGTTAAATGGGTTTTGTATATGCATTTGTTGTGAATTTTGTATATCTGTTGGATTTTGTGGGTAAATTTTCATATTTTGAGATGGTTGAGATTGTCGCGGTCTCTGTTTGCGATATTTTTTAGTATATGGTGCAAAAATATCTGGTTGATGATAATTGTCGTCATCAGATGATAAATAGTTTGTGTTATATGGTGTATGTTGTTTATTTTTATTTTGTTGAAAAAATGGGTAATTTTCACTATAACCCAGTGTAGGTTGTGGATTATCTGGAAAATTTAATGAATTGGTCGATGTTTTTGGGAGATTCCAATAATGGGAACATACGTGATTTAAATTTTGTTTATTTTTTCGGGGAGGTTGATTTGTTTTTGGTTGGTGAGCATAATTATAATTGTGTTCTGCAAAAGTGTTTCTTGAGAACGGTTTTCGTGTTTTTGACGGTATTGTCATTGGTCTATACGTTTGATAGTCCATATGTGAATATTTTGGAGCAACCAAAGGTTTAACGGTTGATTGTAAGGTTACCTGTGTTAGTGATGTATTTGTATTTCTTGGTTTTGTCAGATTGGGGTGTATTGGTGAAATATTTTGTTGTGTAGTTGTTGCTGTTGTTTGGACGATTTCTTCGTTTATGAAGTGTGATGGTGTTTGAATATCTTGCTGTGTAAGATTTCTGGTTCCATTGAGATTTTCATTATGTATGACTGTTGAATTTAAGCTGTTATTTTGTATATCAGGTAAAAATACATTATAATTTAATGGTGTTGCGTCAATGGTTAATGGTATTACTTTTACATAATCTCTGTGGAAACATATTGTATTTATTGCTTGACTCGAGATATCTTGTGGAATATTCAGAAATGCTGGATGAGACCAGTCAGGGTCCCAAACGTAATCTGATTGTTCTCAAAGGACAGTGTCGTCATTGGCATTTTGAGGTCCGAAATTTTTTCTTGCTTGTGAAATTAAATCTAAATTGTGGGTGAAATAATCTATTATAAACCATGCTAAAATCTTTTGTAAATCATGTTTAGTGTTTTGTGAAACATCTTCCTCAGTAAAATTTTTGCAAATTATACGTAGAAATGTTGAAAATACTGTGATTTCATTTCGTACTTTTGTATGTTTGGATGTTTCGGACGGTGATATACTTTGAGCTTCTGTTTTTTCTAATATAGATATATAACTATATATTACTGCAAAAACTTTATTAGTGAATATGGAGTTTGCTCTTTGTGAATTATGATTTTGTATGCTTTTGATATATTCTATGAATACTTTTGAAAATTCTAATTCAATATCGTCTGTTTGAATTACATATTTACGATGGGCTGTATTTGTTGTGCTGAATTCTATGGTGTAGATTCCATATTGTTGTGTTAGATTACAGATGTCTTTCAAATAATGTTCAATAATTTGTCTTTTGATTTTTACAATTGGGAATTCTGCTTTGTATGTACTGATTCCTGGTTCAAACAAACTTACGATTACTATCATCGAGTGAATCTATAAGAAAGGGAAAAACTGCTTCTTCATCTGGACTTTCGTCACTTTGAGTGTGGCTCATTTTTTCATTTGATGACTGTTAATATGTAACTATCAGTGTGTCTAATTGGTTGGTTCCAATTATATAGGTGTACTGGTTTATGCTTATATTGCTTTTTTATTCTTCTTTTTCCTCTTTTTGACAAATTTGAAGTTGTTTCTGAGTCGGAAAAATATAATTGATCATGAATGGGACAATTTTTATCTATTGGTCTTTTAATTTGTATAGTTCGTCTAAACTATTGGCTTCTGATTCAGAAAATGCGTTTCTATTTTTTGAAAATCTTTTTTGTGTGATTTGTCTTTGTTTGTTTATAATTTTTCTTTTTATTGTTTGTCGTTTTGTTCAAATGTATCCAACTGTTTGTGTATGTGGAGTGATTACAAGATCGTATTTTTGGTTATCTATTTCACAATTGTGTAAAACGATTGTTTGTTTATTTCATAAATTTTTGAATGACATAAGGTTTAGAATGAGGGATGCAAGAAGTTGTTAGCTATTTTTATTTTCCTAGACTGTTAGTCCTTACGATTTTTTGGTTAGCTTAACCTGCGTCTTTTTGTTCGGGGTTGGAGAGAAAAGTATATCGATTCTGAAGAATGGTTTTTTCTTCTCGTGGCTAGTCTAAGTTAAGGTGTTAACTTACTTAATCTTTTTTAGGGGTACTGATTGTGTTCAAGGGTTGAGAATAGTAAATCAATCCACAAGGTTCAGGTATAATTAGAACGCAAGTAGTTCGTTAGATAATATTTTAAACTTTCTAAGTCTAAGATCTATCCTGGGTCTGGTAAGAGGAGGGTTCAAGTGAAGGATGAATAACCGAAGTTCTTCACTGTTTAGCTTAATTTGAATGGTTAGTTTTATTTGAAAATTTCTTTTAGTCCTGGGTCTTTTGAAAAGGTTAGATAGTGAATCGACGTTTGAGGTCATTAGACACTTGCTAAGTTGGTGGGGGAAAACAAAATTGTTTTTTTTAATCCAAGGATAGGCCTTGATGATCAGGTTTTAGATTTAATGAGATAGAAAATTTATAAAGATCCAAGGATAAGCCTTGATGATCTGATTTTTAAATTAAGTGAGTTTAAATTTAAAATGGTGTAAATGTATTTAATAAAAAGATTTAGTTTTTTAATTATGTTCGTGAGCTTATGATTGCTGTTATGTTTAGGTGATGAAGCTGGAACAACAAGATGGTTTATTATTACTAACTATTTATTGTCATGCTACTAATTTTTATTTTTAGTTTCAATAAATATTTTTCAAATATGTTTTATATAATAGTGCAGAAATTAGGAAAACTATCTGAGATCTTTTTATCAATCGTTATTGTACATTAATAATTTTGTTTAGCGCCTGAAATGATCATGAAGATTTACTTCAAATTTTTAAGTTTGCAAATGAAAATCTAAATTCATTGCTAATAAGATTCTAAATATAAAAGTTTGTGTTGGCTTTTGCCGTACAACCATAAAACTAAATGGTAAGTTTCTACGTAGTCGTATATCGTCTCTTGTCCGAGGTCTTCTTCCAATACCGGGTAGTTCTAGTATTGTTCGGAATATCTGCTCTGATCTATTGAGTCGTAGAGACATTTCAATTAAGTTATTATCGTGTAACATTTTGAAAATGTTTTGTCTAACTTCTAATCTATATTTGGTTAATTCTAAGCTATTAAGGTCTTATTCGAGACTTTTGGTCGCACCAGATGAGTTAGGACCGATGTGGTTAACTCATAGAGTAATTTCGGATAGGGTACACCATCTGCTCGTCACGCTATCTTATTTTCGGCCGGATAGATTCGCGCAACTTCTTAGTCTAATACCGATCCTAATCTTACTCTTATATCTACTAGTCTCAGGGTGTTTAACTAGTCTCTGCTAGGCTCAATAGATCTAGAGTATACTGGCTTATTGCAACTACTGAAGTTCACTTGGAGAGGCAACTAATTTCTAAGTTAAATTCAAATCTCTCTGGTGCTGAAATTACAAGTAATTTCAGCACTTAAAAATAAGTGGGTTGTTAGTTAGATGGATTATGATTGGTTAATATTAAATACTTTACAGTGGTAAAATATCTAATTTATCCAATAATAAAATGTAGTTTAGATCAGGTTGCACTTGCAAGATTCTTCCTACTTTTACTTTCAACTTACAAGCTTGCTAATTTTACTTTCTTCTTGCAAGATTCTTCCTATTTTTACTTTCAACTTACAAGATTCTTGCTAAATTTACTTTCTTCTCTCAAAATTCTTGCAATGTTTGCATACTTCTTCGTGGGATCGCCTCCTTCTTCCCGAGCAGTGCAGAAGACGAAGAAGCTCTTGATGTAGAACAGATCCAGGGTCCGGATGCGCTCGTTGTTCTCTGCCGCGGAGTCCACCAGCTGGGAGTTGGGACTGTACTGCACCATGTACAAGGCCATCAGACTCAAAACACGCAACACTGTCTGGCCGACTGAAATTCATTCAATTTACTTTTTTTCTACAAAATGGGAATGCGACTGCTCTTATATCACTAAGAATTCAGATTATTTTTACCAACTCAAGAAGAAAGCTGAAGATTTTTGCAAAAAGTATATTTTCAGAAAAAGAACTCCTTTCATTATTGTTTTCTTTTGGTCGATCAAATTGAGCTCTTCCCGGAAAATATTTAACACAAATTACTCCATTTTACTTTGAAATCTGCTTCATTTGAATGTTAACAGTTTATTTAAGACACGAACGAATATATTTTCTTTTTTTAAAAATTTATTTTGCCCTCCGTCACTTGCTCAGTTGAACTAATATTAAGTTTTAAAAATTGCGCCGTCTCTGATCAAATGAACAAATCAATAGCTTTTCTTATATACATGCCTGAAAAAGACACAATATTTTAGTAAACTAATTATGTAATTTATAAAAATTCTCAATATTAATTGAACTAGCCGATAATGACGAGTGTGAGGATACAAGTGTTGGATCGGACAGGCATGTGAGATGCTAGAAAGTAGTTAGACCCTGTGAAACAGTTGCTGAATGTCACTGACATCATGCCCGGCAACAAAACCATTTTCATGTTCCAGTCCAGAATGGCAGTCAGCTCCGACGCCATCTGGAAATAAATACAAGACTTAATCATGTCGAAAAAAGTAAGCGCAATTAAAGCTATTTGTCTCTGGGATTCCACGACAGCAATAAGATTTTTAGAAAATAGCCTTGTTGCGGCTTCTACGACAAACATTGTACAGCCTTCTTGCAGAATCCGCTCACAATTTAAAATTGCAGAATATGATCTAGTTGTGAGAAAAGTGAGTAACCAAACTTGAACTCTAAAAGAGCCAGAAAAAAAGACACGTTTTTAACAAAAAGAAAAGAGAGATGACAACAAGAAATAAAACGCAATTGACAAGTTGTCTTTTATCATTCAGTATATATCCTGAACTAAGTCAATTTTATCGAAGTGTAAAATGGTACAAGGAGGTAGTTGCTACAATTTGACATAGCGAGAACCAAAAAAAAAATAAAGAAAAAGCATGACATCAATAAATAATGATTCAAAAAGACGTCAATTGAGTCACAACACGGGCGATGTACTAGATGACATTCAATCACAAAAGAATACGTACAGGAGTCAACAGTAGGAGATTCAACAATATGATACAGCACTTGAATTCTCATACAACACCTAATCATCAAGCTAGTTCATCTACGAGTAACTCTGCAAGTCATGAAATAGTAGACAAACAGAGAATTTGAAAATCAGTAAAATATCAGACCAAATCCACAAGACCCAAATTGACACGCTGGAAGCACAGATAAATGAAATGACGGCACAATTGAAAGTATATTCCAACTAAATGACATTGCAGAAGAAATGTTATCTCAAAACTCTGTTCTAATGCAAGAAAGACCAATTAAGAGATAGACATGCACGTAGCGTTGTTAAAAACGAAAGCTGACTACTAACTCAGGTGGAAAAGTAGATACACATGATGATGAACGTCATTCAGATCCCAGAAGTATACAAATTAGCAGTATCGATGCCATCAGATGTTGCCTAGAGAAACAAAGGTGCACAAAACCTTTTGAGATTATGGTTGAGGTTTTGTACGAAGGTGTAAACAACTTCAAGAGAGTAGACAAATAATTGCTTCCGAATCCGTTTTCAAAAAGATGTCACAACTTTATCAATTGTGAAGAACGTGTGTAAAATGAAAAGATGTATCTGTTGAGGTCAGACCATCTCAAGGTCAGACAGATTAATTGAATCAAAATCAAAACTGATTAAACTCAGACAAGGTCAACTAGTGATCTCAAACTAATTTATTAGTCTGTAATTAATTAATTGGTACTTAGTTTGTGATGCTTAGTTTGTCATGTCATTTATATTCACTTCTTTTAATTCATTCTTCAACAATCACTACCTCTTCTCAATACTCAGTTCAAACCTCAGATTCTATTTCAGTCTCTAACCTCAGCTCTTAATCCTAGTTGCTCTAACTCTGAATCTTAACAGGTTATGGGCCCAGATTTCAATTTTTTTTCTTGTATAGTTTTTCTGTCAGAGTTTTCAGCTTTTAGCTAGCAGCCTTAAGCAACGATGGACCTGAAACTGGCGGCTTTGAGTGGAAAGTCTGAAAATTTTCCTGCTTGGTCGACGAAGTTTGTGGCCTTGATACACACCAGGGGCCTGTTCAGGACATTGATGGGCACTGATGATCTGCCAGAGGCTGAGCCTACTCTCCCCGAGAGTCCGAATGCTGATCAGCAGGCAGCCTACGATACCAAGATGCAGGAGCGAGCAGTGTTGATCCAGCAGAGGAAAAACAATCGAAACACTGTGTGGTCCCACCTGGCTCTGCCGCTCAATAACACCACTTTGATGTACATAAAGAACAACTGCGTGGGAACAGATGGCTATGGCGATGGGACGAAGGCTGGGAAGCTGCTTCAAAAAAAATTTTGCAGTGTAGAGAGGCCGACGGTGGCCAGTCTAGTAGACCAGCTTGCGAAGTTGCGCCTAGGATCAGAGGAGGATCTGGACGAATACTTCGTTCGCAGTCAAGAGCTGATGACGCGGTTGAGCGAAGCTGGAGAAGCAATCACGGACACACTGTTTAATGCTTTGGCGATCAATGGGCTGCCTGACATTTTGTGGTGCAAGACAGCTTTCAACCAGCCAAGACGTTTCTCGAGGTTGAGGAACTACGGTGACTCGAGGAAAGCTCGATGTGGAGAGAGGACTGGACATGGTTATATAGCCAGGCAAGCTGTGAGGAAGAAGAACGGAGTGTCAAGTAGTGGCTGCTATGTGTGCGGTCAGAAGGGTCATATGGTGAAGGACTGCAAATCCAAAAGGGACAGCGGACAATCCAGTGCTCGAGGCAGTGGGTCGAACGAAGCAAGTGGGCCAGGAGCAAAGAAGCAAGGGTGATTCAAGTGTGCTTAACCTGGAAATTTTGCAAGGGAGTACAAGCAGGGGAGGACAGGGTTCTTCAGTTGTTGTGCGTTGTGCTGCAACTTCAATCAAGGGAGACGACCTCATTGTGGATACGGGATGCACTGATTATGTGGTGCGCGACAGGTCATCCTTTTCTAGCATTGAGAGCTGGAACGAAGGGACAAAACCCCAACGGGACGCTGCCAAGGATTGAGGGCAAAGGATCAGTGGAAACGTGATCAGGGACTGCCATGATGCTGCAAGGACCTACACTTTTCACAATGTGCTGTTTGTGCCGAGCTACAGTGTGAGCTTGATGAGTGTGAGCTCAGCTGCGGCTAGAGGCTCAAGCTTCAGTTTCGCCGCAGATGCATCACATCTACTGGCACCAGATGGGGGACAGCTACCTGTGGAGCAGCGCGGCAACTTTTTTTTTCCTTGAGTGCAAGTTCAACAAAAACCCGATGACTCTAGTAACGAAAACAAGGAGGGATACCAGTGATGCAATGTTGTGGCACCACGACTTTGGCACATCAACCAGCAGGATCTTTCATCGCTTGTCAATGTGGGCGAGCTAGAGTTCTGAGAAGTTTGTACAGCTTCTAAGATGCATGAAGTAGCAGTGCCTAAGAAGACTGACAGCAAGGCATTGGCAGTGGGGCAACGGGTCTTCAGTGACATTCAGGGACCATTTGAAGTTCCGAGTATGCATGGTGCTCGCTATGCCTTGAGCTTCATCGGCGACTTTAGTCGGCTGGCTGTGGTAAAGTACCTGGTGAAGAAGAGTGATGCTCTACTGAAGTTTCAGGAGTTTGTGGCTGCACATGGAGCACCGAAATGCCTGCGAACTGACAATGGAGGTGAGTATTCGTCAAATGCATTTAGAAGATTTTGTAGAGAATTCCAGGTAAAGCAATATTTCACTGTGCCCAATACTCCCCAACAGAATAGTGTAGCAGAGCGCTACAACAGAGTGATCACCGAGATGACTCGATGTCTGCTGGCCAAAACAAAGCTATCGAAGATGTTCTGGGTGCGAGCAATGTCGACAGCTGTGAGGTTTCGCAACTTGTGTCCCACATCCAGCAACGAGACGCGCCTTTTACAGACAGAGATGCACTACGGGCAACCATCAAAAGTGAGCTATTTGCGTGTGTTCGATTGGGTGTCTAATTATCTGGTTCGAGGAAACAGACGGAGACTGGATCCAAAGGGCAAGAAAAGCAAGTTCATCGGCTACGACGAGGAGAGTAAAGCCTACCTGCTGATGGATCTAGAGGCAAGACGAGTGGTACGAGCATGAAGCTTGATATTCAATGAGAACATCATTCCAGATGAGTTGATGGTTGGCAGTGAGTCATTACAAACCCTGGAGCTATCAATCGAGGGGTGCATTGATATTGAGCAACCAAGCACGACGAAAACCAGCGAAGCACGAAGCGCGCCAACTGAAGGTGATACTACAGATTCAGTGGGGGCTCTTGAGGAAGATAAGATCGAGGGAGAAGCAGCAGATTCTTATTCTACTGATCATCCAGTACAGAGGTCCGTTAGGACAAGGAACCCACCCATTCGATACGGACTAGCCTATTCCAATGCTTCAGTGACTGGAAATCAAGACCTGAAGAGCTATTCAGAAGCAGTTTCTGGGCCCGAAAAGGAGCAGTGGCTGGCAGCAATGGCTTTAGAGGTGAAGTCTCTAGAAGCCATGGGAACATGGACACTTCTTGATAGACAAAAATGTCGAAAAGTTATTCCTGGAGATGGGTTCTTGCTGTAAAGAGGGATGCGATGGGACACGTGGAGCAGTTCAAAGCCCGATATGTAGTGAAAGGGTTCGTGCGAGTGGAAGGACTTGACTTCAATGAGACGTTAGCTCTAACCTGTAAACCTGAAACAAAAAGGATACTGCTGGCTTTGGGGGCACAAGATGATCTTGTACTTCATCAGATGGATGTTAAGTCAGCCTTCCTCAACTCTCCCTTAGCAGAGACAGTTCCATGGAGCAGCCAGAGGGGTTCAGCAGCGGTGACAGCTAAGTGTGCTTGCTACAGCGAAGTCTCTACGGGCTGCGACAGGCAGGAAGAGACTGGTATCAGATGCTGAGCACTTTCCTACTTGATGAAGGGTTCACTAGAAGCAGTAACGACTTCTGTTTGTTCACGATGAGGAGAACAAACGATGCAATGATTTATGTGCTGGTTTGGGTAGATGACATCATCATTGGGTGCAGATGTCAAGACGAAGTTGACAAGCTGACGAGCCGTTTCTCCGAACGATTCAAGATGAATGGCAGAGGGGAATTGTTCTGGTTCCTGGTAATGCAGGTCAAGCAGCTAACTGGGACGGTAACAGTAAATCAATGTCGTTACATCGACGATTGCTTGGAGCGTTTTGGCCTTGCTGAACGCAAACCAGTGGGCACAACAGCGGACATCAGTGCACAGCTGTCGAAGAAGGGCTGCCCTGAAGCTGAGTCAGCAGAGGCAATATCCATGAAGGCTGAGGACTACAGCGGCATTATGGGCTCATTATTGTACATAGCTAAGCAAACAAGACCTGATAACTTAGCTACCTTGACGCAACTCTCTCGTTTCCTGGAGAATCCGGTAAGGGTGCACTGGGTGGCTGCAAAGAGGGTTCTTTGTTACCTGAAGGGGAGCAAAGATCTGGAGCTGTGCTACACTAAGGAAGCTGGTGGTGTAAGACTCTATGGAACCGCAGATGCTGACTGGGCTGGAGAATTGGATGATAGAAGGTCAAGTACTAGCTACAGTTTTCATTTGCAGAAGGCAGGGGCAGCAATTAGTTGGAGCACCAAGAAGCAACAACTGCAGTCATATCTACCAGTGAGGCTGAGTACCAAACAATGGCAGCAGCGGTTCAAGAGGCTCTATATCTGCGATCACTTCTCGATGAGATGGGCATAGTCATCAAGGAGGACAACCACAGCTGTATCAAGATGTGCAAGAATCCTGTGATGCAGAAGCGAACGAAAGACATCGATGTGAAATACCACTTTGTTCGAGAACGAGTGGAAGATGAGACAGTTCAACTCCAATATACTGAGTTCATAGAAGCTGACTTGTTAACAAAATCCCTGTGCAAGGCTAAGGTGGAACAGCATCGTCGAACCTTGATGGGTTGCAGCCTGACATTGGACAAAGCCAATTCCGCCTGAGTGGGGGTGTTGAGGTCAGACCATCTCATGGTCAGACAGATTAATTGAATCAAAACCAAAGGTGATTAAACTCCAACAATGTCAACTAGTGATCTCAAACTAATTTATTAGTCTGTAATTAATGAACTTTACTTTTGTGATGCTTAGTTTGTCATGTCATTTATATTCACTTCTTTCAATTCATTCTTCAACAATCACTACCTCTTCTTAATGCTCAGTTCAAACCTCTGGGTGATCCTAATTCTGCCAACCCAGTCGCTATTCGTTCCAAGTAGTGGCAACAAACAGAACTGGCAAAAAAAAAGAACTGTATAGATGTTGAGAAAAAACTGAAGCCACAAGAAAGAGGTACTACGGGGATGGAAGTCATATGATGTGATAAAAGAATCAAATGGTAAGATGGAAATCATGCGGAATCTGCTTTGAGGGGAGGCGGAATGAATCGTAAGAAAGTTTTGCCGAGGGAGGGTTAGAGAGCCATGTAGACAAAAAAAGCTAATTGCATCAAAAATTTGAGTTTAAATAGATATCTTTAAGACTTTGTATATGTCGAATGGCTTCTGGATTTCAAAATTGACTCAAGTAAACTGCTTCAACATAAAACAATTTTATTAAAATTCGAAGAGTTTTGACTGACCGGCATTTCACTATGATAAGATAGCTTCGGAAAATTTTTTCAATTATAATGACACTTTTTATCTCCAAGAACGAAACCAACTTACCCTTCTATAATGTGAAGTATAAATTTATACTGTTTTTGAAGGGGTAGCGCGTGCCAAAAGAAATCCGACAACATGAAATTTTCGGATATTTTTTTTCAGCAGTGCAGAACACTTTGTCAAATTGCCGACTTGTTATTGCTTTGGAAGAGCCCAGAAAAGCCGACCTAAAGGAAATTAAAAAATCGAAATTCTTTTGAAGAAGCGTCACCCCAAGAAAACCATAGATGCGCGTCTTTTTTGTCTTATATCGAAAAGTAACTTTTGTCTCTGAAGACGAAATGTAGTCGCACCGAAAGAAGTGGCAACAAAAGTTGGGAGAATTTGAAGCCACAAGAAAGAAGAACTACAAGAATGGAAATCAACTGGTGTGATAGAAGAAGTCCTAGCCAGTGAAACGCTCTATAACGGCTGTAACATCCTAAAATGCAGATGGGAGGTTACATGAAAGAACGCACAAGATAGCGACACGGAGCGAAATATCAGACTCACAACCAGAAGCGAGATGAATCTCTTTTGAAAAATATGCGAAAAACGATATCAGAATCCGCCTTGTTCTTTGCAGTAGCTATATTAGCCGACAAGAAATAGAGGGAGTGCTCGATAGATGTCAGCGGAGCACACCTCGACCTTTTTACAATTACCAATCAAGAAAAGCGGAAATATCGATTGAAACTCTCCGGAGATTAAAAATTGCCGCTCATAGATTAGTTGATGTAGGGGTACACAACTATGATCAGAAAACAAATCTTTTTCAGGCTAGGATTTTTGAATGCAGCATTACGCATTGTCTATTTTACATAAAGTATCACCAGGACCACCAGGTAGGGCTACCGTCATTACACGTAGATGACATGATAACGGGGAAACATGAATTCCATGCTAAAATCAAAAGAGCATCCGAAGGAATAAATCGAAGACATGCAAAAGGGCAAGTTTTTGAATTCTTGAAAACAACATTGAATCTGACACCAACAGAGAAAAATTTCGAAGACATTTTAGAATTCGCATTTTTTACGGCTAAAGACGGAATGAGTATCAACCAAGTGCCACTAACAATCGCTAGAATTTTGATGGGACCCTTACAGTTCCGT